TTACAACTTAAAATAAAGTGTTTTTTTTTTTTTTTTTTTGAGTTAAAGATAAAAACTAGAATTCCCATTGAGGTTATAGTAGCATGAATAATACATTTCAGTTCATACAGGTTAAGTTAGTAAAGTGCTGGTGGATTTAAATCCCATTTCTGACATTGGTCCACAGGTTGGAGGTTCATTGCCAGCTCCCACAGGTGCACACTGTTGTTGTGTCCTTGAGCAAGAGATTTAACCTTGCTCGCCTTCATTGGGTACACTGCTGTATGGATGAGTGGTTCCTTAATGAAGTACAAGAATTACTGTGTGTGGCCATTGGAAAAGTAAATTTAAGACAATTTTATGCCATGGGGATGAGGATTAGTAAGAGTGCATTTTAATTGTATTATAATTTTGACTGGTATAAACAAACACCTGTAATGTTATCTGTAATTAATTTGGAACTTGAAAATTAAAAACATTAACATGACTAGGAGAATGCAGTTTCACTTTTGAATTTGTCTGTAACCACTACCTTAATAATAATTATTTTTGTTGCTATAAATTATAATAAGTTTATCCTGATAAAAAGGGTACACAACAATTGTTCTTGGGAAATTTTAAATCTCCATTATATCATCAGAATATACACTAAAAAACTACGTATCTATGATGTTTTCTTGTAGATCATTGTTTTCACTTCAAAGACCAATACTATAACATATAGTTGTTGAACCTAATATTAAAATTAGAATTGTGCAAATCCATAATCAATAATTATCGTACTATAATCATTAATCACATTTGTTTTGGCCATGATAATTGTGACATAATTTCAATATTGTCCCATGTTATAGTGTAAAAAATTTTCACAATGGTGCAAAGTGACATGAACGTAAACGTCACAAAAGTCAATGCTTTTCTATGGCAAAATATCTGTCTAATTGTCTCCCACCAGCTTCATAAATCTGACCCAACACCAAATCTTCATCCAACAAAGTCGACAAAGGACATATTCTGTCCATGAAGAATTTATCCACGACTATCAAGGTAAGAAAGGCGGAAACATAAAGGCGAACAACAACAACGCGTTAGTGAACTACTCCCGCGCCAAACTAACATTATGGTCATGAATAAAACATAAGTACCTTGTTAACTCAGACCAATTCTACAGTTAAAATTAAAAATCTATTTCATGATGTCGATATTAGCATAGACAGAGAGATTTGTGCAGTTTAAATGCTAGACATGTAATCTGTGAACATCTGTAGCATTCAAACTGCACAAATCTCCCTGTCTATGCTAATATCGACATCATGAAATCGATTTTTAATTTTAATTGTAGAATCAGTCTGAGTTAACAAGGCATTTATTAATGAAAGACTTATTACTTATGTTTTATTCATGACCATAACGTTCATTTTGCTCAGGAGTAGTTCACTAATTCAAGTCGTTCTTCGCCTTTACATTATCGTCTTTCTTACCTTGATAGTTGCGGATAGATTCTTCGTGGACAAAATATGTCCTTTTTCGACCTTGTTGGATGAAGGATTTGATGATGGGGCAGATTTATTGAAGCTGGTGGAAAATACACGTAAGGCATTTCCACAGATATTTTGCCATAGAAAAGCTCTGACATATGTGAGGTTTACCCTGCATTGCTGCTCTTCTGGCCGTTGTGAAAAAGGTCTGTTGCTGATGTCCTTGTAGAAAAGTGTGCCTGTGCTTGATATCGACAGAGCGCTGACAGGAATTACATGGTTTAACAGAACAGCTGTGTGTTCGGGAAAGGCCAGAACATGTTGGACATTATGCTGATAAGCCCGGCGCATGCACCTGGATCCAAAGTGGTTCAGCATGATGTTGTTTCTCAGTCGAAGTGGCCATTATCACCAGGGAAAAGCTGCCTGTTTACTAATTCATATGTATCATTTTTGTGCTTCCTGCGACTTGTGGGGCCACTCTTGGTGAAGTTTGCTCTCCCATTTCCCCAGCCACAACTTGGTCAGTCCTTCATGTAGGTACTCCTGAAGTTTAGTCAAGAGGTGATCCTAAGTACTACAGTAAAGTTGTTTTGTGTTATCCATACAGTGTTGTTGAAGTACCAGGCAACAGCAGATGAATAAAGTTGTTTGTGTACCTTTTAGTCTTATCCTGAAGTAAGACTCAGAGATCATCTAGTTCAAACTAAAGCACTTTTCTCGAAGCAAATAAACCTTGTTAAATGCAAAATTTAAAGTTTTGACTAAATGTATTGTTTATTTAACATTTGAATTAGCATTTATCAACACTAATACAGAAAACACTGGCTGACATTTCAAGTGGTTTTCGCAGAGTGTTATATATATTAAACGGCATATTTTGCTAATAGGGACACTGGACTAGTTATAGGGCTAATTGCAACTTAACCTTTATTGTATCCGCGCTGTATATACTGTAAGTTGACAGTATGGTTAACCCTTGAGCTCTGCTAATTAAAAATAGCAAGCTTTTTTTTTTTTTTTTTAACTCACTCAGCTCTTTCATGCCACAACACAAACACAATCCTGAATCAGAATCTGTCCAGTAATTTCAGTCACCCATTCATTACTGAAAGAATACTCATCGTTCCTTACATTTTTAGCCAAACGGATGCTCAGATGTAAACAGAAATATGACATAAATATAATCTTATATCATTTTCATTGACATCAATAGGCAGACTTATTATACTTTTGTATTCTGAGTGGTCACATGTATATATATACATGTTGAGGAAGACTGATCTGAGTCATTGCTAGACTAGTAGGTTTTGTATTACTGTATTTCTATATTTTATTTATTATACTATTACTATTATATACTATTATATTTATTATCTATTTATTATTACCATGTATAATTGTGCTCTTTTTTTTTATTATATGTATTGTGATGTGTGAGCTCGTGGTCAAATAATTTTGCTTGTGAATCAATACAGTTTGTCTAAGTAAAAAAAAAAAAAAAAAAGAAAGAAAGAAAAAGCAAAACACAAGGAAGCTCAGAGCAGCTTATGAAAAAGTACGTGCCTCTGAATAATGTTTGTAGGAAACTTGTGCTTATGTGATAACAATGTTTCTGGCTTGACAACAATAGAGTTCCAAAACATTTTAATTATTCATGATTTGGTGCATGACTGCCCCCTTGTGAATGCAATTAGTACTTTCTGCATTCTCAAAACTCAAATGCAAAAATGTAACGCAGATAAAAACTTTTCCATGTCATCTTAATAACACTTGTTACTACTACCACTGTGCAGTTGTGTTCATTATAATTCAGCAACAGTTCGAAATGATGACAGGTGGGAAAGAAAAGAATAGATTTGATTTCTTTTAATGAGGTTTTAGCAGTTTTGTGGTATTATCTGCCAGCACTGAAAGAACTTAAGTCTTAACACCTCATTACTGGAGGTCCATCTGAGGACAGCTGACATAATACAGACATAATTTGCCTTTTTAAGTTTGTAATCCTTGTTTAATGTCAATTAGAACTAGACTTAATGATGAATAAAACAGCAATATAAATGATGATTCAATGTATTTTGTGTCAATCAGTAACATGGTTTAGATCTATTGTGCCATAGATTTTTTTCCAGTATACTCAATCCAAAAATCTCCAAACAGACATACTTCAGCATCCTTTTCCAATCACATAGCACAATGTTATGTATATTATGCCAAATTGCATCATATTTTTTATTCAATTTGTCATCTGAAAGTGCGCTGTTCCTTGAACCAGTTGCATCGTGCTGCTGTACAGTATGTACTGCCATTCAAGCCACAAGGACACTGCAAACAAACAGCGTATGCGCACCCATGCTGGATGAGGAGTCGCCCTTCTCATATAAAATAAGCCAAAGTCAACATTCATTATAGAAAGTAAATGAGTCCTTGTTGACTCTGTAGCACAGCTGTGAGGGAGGTCTTGATAAGACTCAAAGGATATTCACAGCACATTACTAATATGTCCTCTAAATCATCTTTGTAATGAAAGCTGACCACTTATACTCAAGCTCCAAGTTAAAAAAAAAACTATATATATTGGCATACGTATACCCCAAGGCACGTCTTACATCAAAAGCAGGCCTGATCCTTAATTAAACCGATACAATACAGCAGCCGTGACAGCTCTGTGGCGCTCTGCCTCAGTAAAACTCAGCGGCCAATAAAGTTTCTTCAAGGCTAATGATTAATGTGTCTAATTTCTGTGATCTGTATTGAGCAAAGCATCATGGGTAATTAAATGATGGTCTACAGAACCCTTGTAGCAATGACAAGGCTGTAATTATTATCAAGCTTGGTTAGCCTAATACCAGTGCTAACTGAGTGTCAATAAAGCGCAGTGTGTCGTCTGTGTAAATAGATTAACCACTGTAACCAGTGTTACCATAACACTCATATTTATGTTTTAGTTTATCACTAAAGTACCTATATCTTACAATGTTGTTTCCTTATAACAAACATACCTGGAGTTTTGTTTTGTTTCATTCACACATTTTTAACGCACAAACCCTGCAAATTAAGGCTTTGTTCTTCTCTCAGACAGAAAACACTCCACCTTGTAATGGCATGCGCTAATACAAGAAGTGCTTTGTGTTTTTAAACTTCGCTTTCACTAGAATCATTTGGATGATCTCAGCTGTGGAATTGCCAGTCTCTACTGACAAAAAGTAAAGGTAGCTGTTAACTTCAAATCCACCACTTCATGATATCACCAGGTGGAACAGAGCATTTTGAGTTTTGGAGATGTAGACAGACTAACTCAAATACTCAAATATGTGTGAATGAAACAAAACAGGTATATTTTGGAGGAAGAGTCAATTTTGTGTAATATAGGGTTTAAATATTACTGTGTAGTATTGGTACCCCCAAAGGATAATTGACTCATACTCAGTGATAAATAAATTGGCTATGTAAAATGATACTAATTACTACTTATATTATATTAAGTCTATATTTACTTGTCAGTTCACATTTTCATTTGTTGTTTTTTTTTATGGTGGCAGCCACAGCCAAGTAGAGGTGTTGTTTTATATTGCTATTATTTTAATATATAAGGTCAGTGTCATTAATTACCACTTCTACTTCTTCTACTGTATAAGGTGTCTACTTTGCCCTTCTGCTGATATTGCTGTTCTGTTAACAGTGCCCTTGATTTTTTATTTTTTTTTTTTTAACTGTACCTCTATGTCTACAACTGCTGCTTTTCATTTTACATGCATGACCATTATCTCTGGCTTGAATGTAAGATGAGATGCTTTTTTTTTTGGTTTTTTTCCCCCTTTAACCCAAATCCTTTTATTATAAGAATAATACCTTATCATTGTGAACAAAGATGACAATAAACAAACAAGTTCCATTTAAATCTGAAAATAAATCCCATACATTGACATACAATTGCAATACTATTCACAGTGTTCACAACAAAATAAGCAATGGGCAAACTTCCAGCTTAATCTTGTATTACATATTATCCCATAAGAGGAAAAAATAAACAAACAAAAAAGACATTCCCAGGGACCTATATTATAAATACACACTTAATGGATACTGAATCTCTCTGCAACACTTGACTGACCAAGATTATACAAAAACGACATTCTTACAAGAGGTACATGAGACATTTTCTGAAAGCTGACTACACTTTCAAGCACAGCACAACATATTACAAAGAGTCTTCCTCCTGGGGCTGTCTGGCTGTCCGAGACCCCCCAAAAACTCAATGCAGGCGGGCGTATTGATGTCTCCTTTACGGCCATTTAAATCAAGCCTGTTATTTTTATTATTGTTGTCCCACTGCAAAATAAATAGGGTGATAAAAAGCGACACTGGGCTGCTCTGTGTGACATTTAAGGGAGTCCTCTTGGAGTAGTAAAGGTGCCGGCTTGATGGATACGGGAGCTTTATAGACAAGTGGGAGACTGAATGAGGAATGCTTAGAGATGCAAGGACAGACTACATGGCACATAGGGAGATAGAGAGCAGCGAGGATGGAAGAGTAACAGTGTTTCAATAAATTCTGAGGTATTAGATAAAGTAAAGTCAGTGCAGGCTTATAAACAGTAGTAGCTCTTAATCTATGGACTGCATCTTATGGCGGTGGAGCAGAGCTATAGGATGTTATGTGTATGTTCTGTGTTCATATCTGTTTTAAAAGAGAAGGTATCCCCTCTGCACATTATACATTTTGTTATGTCAAAGACCCTGTCCGTTCAAAGTCAATAAACAATCACATATGACTTTCTGTAGAAGAAAGCAAAGTTTAGGACTAGAGATGTACCAATTAGGGATGCACAGATCCATCTTTTTCAGTTCTTATACTGATACTGATACTTTGCTTTATGTATCTGAAGGTACCTGATATTAACTGACACCAGTGTAAGGACTGAAAATAGACTCTTCTTTAAAACACAATTAACTTCTCACACAAGAGATCAATATTGTGTACCTGTTATTTTTTTTCTTCAAATAACTACACAACAATTTTGCATGAATACAATTTCAAACATTATGAGGTGTTCTGGGTTAAAATCAGCCTGAAAACACAATATCCAATATCATGAGACCAATACTCAAACCAGCAATTCTGTCAGTATCGGTGCTATCAATCTAGCTTTTTCACATTTGATAGCTATTTTAATATCAATACTTTGGCTTTAAGTTGCTGCTGATATGTGATATGAACAGATACCAGTGTAAGGAACTGATAATGGAATTTTCCCCTCAAAACACAGTGATGAAATGGATCCAAGGGTGTTATATAACTGTTAACTACTGAACAACTTTGTATGAATTACATTTCGACTGAACCAATACCAAAATATCTGATAGCAGTATTAGTATATCTGTTGAATTCCTATTTTGGACAGTGCACTTGTGAGTTAGTTCCAGAACACATGCATATTTTCCTCAGATGCTGTGTGGAGAGGATACATTCAACAACAATAATGGATTTATATAGAATAGGGTGCAGTGTTAACAAGTACCTCAACTACTAGAGAGAGACTTTAAAATGTATTGTGCACTTAACATCTGAGGAGACTCTTTATAAAATACAAAACAGAGTAAAGATGAGCAATAATAGAAGAACACTTTGACATTCAGTATAGAGTTCATGAGAGGGACAGCTTTAGAGATCCAGTGCTAACAATAAAGCAGCACCCCTCCACATGAGAAGATCAAAACAGAAGACGTGACTATATCTGACATGTCCCCTCTCTCTCTCTCTGCATGCCCCTCAGTAGACAGGTCTGTGGAAGAGTTCTCCAGAGCCCACCCTGCGCCTCAGCTCCCTCCACAGCAGCTCGCGCTCCTTCTGGGCCCCCTGCATGAAGCGCGGTTCTCCTGGGCCCTCCTCGACAGGTAGGGCATCACCTCATCCACTGGACCATAAGGGACATACTTGTACACAGGGAAGCCGGCCTGGCCTGTAGCAAAAACAGAAAAGAAAGAAGAAAATGTGAATAGAATACAATGTGGTAAGTCTAAGTTTGCTGCAATATGTTACTTTTCTCTTGTGTACCTTCTGTTCTCCGATGAGAGGTTATCATGATTATGATTATGATTATTACTACTGGAATATTCATTAAATGTATTATTTTGCAACTCTTTAAAGGTGTTTCATTGATTTAAAAAACAAAACAAAAAAGTAAATAAATTCCTCTTCTGTGAGCAGGGTCAACTCTCCACACCTGACCTGTAACTTGACCTAGTGATGGAGACACATGTAATGCCATACAATGGAATATTCCTGGCAAAAGCATTACTGGGTCATTGGAGATAAGTGGGGAGTTGACCCTCTACCAGAGTGAATGTTTAAATCAACAGGAGTATACATTTTAAGTATATGTTTATGTATCCCTAAAACTTATATTTATCTATCCTTGAATTTGGGCCTTTAAAGTCCATAATGATCATTTGTTATTATAGCTATAATCTAGTTTTAATTGTCATGTTTGGTGGCTCTTTTCAAAAGCTCTGTACCTTGCAGCTGTTGTTTCTAAACCTGTCTAAGTCTATATGAAAATGAATACTTCACAGACACGGAAACAGTTGGAGAGTACAGACCTCTGAGGCACTGGCCCTATCTCACATATGCTTCAGAATCCACTAAACTAAGAAATACTGTGCCTCTTTGCCAATGCCTTGAAATTATTTTTATCTTACCCTTTCACTGAAACATAAGTGTTATCTTAGTAAATACAGTTAATTCATGGTAATAACTGGGAAAAGCACACTTCTGGCATTCTACTTTATTTCATCTTAATGTAATTAAACCCTATCCTAACACACTATGCAGACATGAATTACCAGGATAATTGGTTACCTGCTATATGATATGATATTATGATATGGCTTTAAGCCATGTTATAATGCTCTTACCTCCTCAAAGACCAGAGTAGTGTTTTGTTTCATTCACACATGTTTGAGTAATCCTTTATTATTTGTTTGTCTACATCTCCAAAGCTCAAAATGCTCTGTTCCACCTTGTGATGTCATTTATGAGTAGATTTCAAGTTAATAGTAATTTGGCTGGTGTGATTCCAGCTTCAACATTTAAATGCTGTTGTTGTATCCTTGGGCAAGACACATAACCCACCTCGGCCCTAGTTTGTGCATATGGTGTATGAATGTGTGCGTGAATGGCTGAGTGGTTCATTGATGTAAAGTGCTTTGAGTGCCTTGAAGGTGGAAAAGCACTATATAAAAATGTGACCATTTACCTTTAGTTCTGTAGAGACTGGCAATTCCAGGACTGAGTAATCCAAATGATTCTAGTGAAGATGTAGTGTTAAAAACACAGTGGATTACTTCCTGTATTACCACATGACATCACAAGGTGGAACAAACTGTTTTCTGTTTGAGAGAAGAACTTAGCCTAAATATGCAGGGTTTGCGTGTTGAACATGTGTGAATGAAACAAAACAAAACTGCAGGTATGTTTGTGATGAGGAAACGACATTAAAACATAGATCAGAAAATAGTGTAATATGGGCCCTTTAATACATTATCCTGACCTGTTAGTATTGTTTAATTTATAGCTTCCTCAATGTCAACTGAAAACAGGTAACCTTTAATGTGTTTCTTTTATGAGTGAACAGGACAGATCTATGTCTCCCTAAGCCTCACACTGACAGACAACTGCCTACCACTGCTGTCTATCTCCCCGACAAACAAAGTAGTTAGTGGTGAGGGCTTTAGACAGCTTGTCAATACCAGTGAGTGTCAGTTCATATGTCATGTTATGGACTGCAGACATGTGCTCTACCAACCAATGGAATGAGAACATCTGCTGCTGGAGACAATGCTGGAGTGATTGGTGTTACATGGAGCTAAATACGGTATGTAAAAAGGCTGTCAACATTAGAATATGGTTTATATTTTAGTACAGGGATGAGAGTCAGTGAAAATGAATTCTGTTGTTAGAGGCTTGAAAAAAGGTTTTCTAACACCACTGACACTATAGACTACTTTTTATGTTACTATAGAGTTAGAAAACACAGTATTCTGGTTGGGCAAAAGAACTGATGTTTACAGATTGTAGTCAGCCAAGAAAGTCTCATAATGTTAGATTTTTTTTAATGGGCACACGTATAATAGCCAGGCTGATGCCACCTAGTGCCTCCGCTCAATTTCATTTCTCTCCAGCAACTAGGTCAGGAATCAAAATACACTAGACGGTTCACAAAAAAAAACAGCAGTGCAAGTTCGGGCACCAGCCAATCAGCAAAGAGCCGTATATTCAGTGTTGTCAATGATTCCCGAAATTGAGGATTTAAAGCCAGAATAAAGAGCATGTTTGGTGAATTTTATCAAGGGGAAAGACATTATTGCCCTTCTTCCTACAGGATTTGGAAAAAGCTTAATATACCAGTTTTCCCCATTAACGGCGCATTACATATGTGACTACCAAATACCAGTGATTGGTTAAATAAAAAAAAGTAGACAACTACTGTCAAGCAAACGAATTCCAATGCTGCGAGGGCAGATTGAAACCGGCGGATGAATCGGGCTAGATGTATATAGCTATAGTATTAAAATTGGTATTGGAACTGAAAAAGCTGTATCGATACATCCCTGGTTGGGTCCACAAATTTACCAATTAATATTATAGATTATGGCTTCAAGTAATTTCATTTGACAACAAGAAGATAATTTCTTAGAGGTCCAGTCTTACGCTAAAAGGAGCTTTTAGCTGTGTTTTTTTGTTGTGTTTTCTGTTTGAGAAAAGAATATGCAAGGTTTGTCTGTTAAATATGTGTGAATTAAACAAAATAAAACTCCAGGTATGATTTTTTACTGAGGAAGCAACATTATAACATAGATCAGAAAATAGTGTAATATGGGCCCTTTAAGTATGGTTAGTGTGTAATGTATTTCCTTACCAAGTGGAAAGCTGATCTGATCACACATTCCCAGTAGTTGTCCGAAGTACACCTTGTTCTCCCTGGGCGTGAGACCGAGCTCATTCATCCTGAAGAAGAGAGATACAAAACAAATCAGGTTAGATAGAAATAAAGACACAGATCAATACTAAGCATTTTTTCTACAGGCAGATTCCCTACCGCCTCAAGGTGTGTTTGACTGTGTCCTCATTATGTGAAGCCACCATCACGTTAGCCTTCCCATTCAGAGCGATCTCGTCCAACACAAAGTCCAGGCACCTGATTCAAACAATGGGGAAAAAAGTATCATTTGAAATGTATGTGGGAAAGATTTTGATTTGGTATACATAATATTCAAGACTCACGTAACTGATCATACTGTAAATATTTATTGGTTTCACAGTGATATATTTTGAAGCATTTGTATTTTGGTGTGCATCAAATACTCTTTAACATGTTTGGAACTGGAATGAAGTATTCAAGATGAAGACACTCTTGGGTGCATCCTGTATTATTATAATGATATGATCATACTGGAATGGGAAGAAATTTTCATAGAAGTGGAATATATTTGACTCTTGCTCAACTGGTTGGTGGCGCGATGCCAGCTCCCACAGATGAATAATGTTGTTGTGTCCTTGTGCAAGACAGTTAACCCCCCTTGCCCCCAGTGTCTGTGTACACAGGTATATAAGTGTGTGTGTGAATGAGTTGTTCCTTATTGTAAATATAAAAATCTGACAATTTTCCATTTTGGACATATTGCAACACTAGGGCTGAAACAAATTAATCAGTTAATCATTACGAGACATTTGTTGCTTCTTTAAAATAGTAAGAGGCCGACCCTGTATGATACGCACTATATTATTGTTTGTTGAAACAGCAGTGATAGACATACAATTATATGTTTGTAATATATAGTGGAGCTTAGATATTAATCTCAACCATAGGGAATGCAACATTATAGAGAATACTGCATAATGTACACAGTGTAAATAAACATTAAGTATCACATTAACATTTAAGTAGCATGGTATGTTTCTCTGCAGGCTTTAAATAAATATGTGGCATATCATACCACACAATCTGGGTTCACATAGCGCATTAAAGAGCCATGCCGCGTGCTGTTTACCTCAAAAGCACATTCAGAGCAGGTTGCAAAAAGCCCTATTTTCTCCTCTGCATAACCTACAATCTTGTTCACTACAGGGATACCTCTTTGTGCTGCTTTGAATAAGGTCAAAAGAGTACAGCACTGAAATTACACTGCTTGTACTGGGGACAATGACACAGAACAGAGTAGTAAAGGATGTTGAATTAGACGCCAAAGGTCCGTTTACTTAAACCTCTTTCATATGAGTGTTTCAGAGGTCTTTTTAGGCTTCATTATGCAGAACATACTTGTCTTTCTATGACCAAACGCTGGTATTACAGCGTGTGTTCTCTTGCCTGTGGTACATCCTGTTGGTGGCCTCATAGTCAGGGTTAATCGGATCCTCATATCCTCGCTCCTCTGCTCTCTCTCGCTCCTGGTACATGTAGGCTCCCCTCACCAGCTTAGCAGCAAACCTCCATCCCTCACGATGGGACAGTTCTACATCCATGCTCACACTGTTATAGGCATCCTGCAGGGGAAATACGGTTAGTACTTCAACACGATAATATCTAGAATCTGATGTCTCCATTACAAGCACTGGAGCAGAATTGTTTGGCTTAAATCAATTTTATGAAAAATAATAAAAACCCTGATTTCCCTGGAAATAACACATTTAATTAAGAACATCTCAAAGGAGTGACCAAATCTGATTGGCCAGCACACTCAGCGGGACTGAGGCAGTTTATTGGAGGTAAATAACCAAAGAGTAATTCTAGAAACAATCATAAAGCAAATTATTCTCATTAGTTAAAGTTATATATTGACAAAAATAAAGGTTAAAATCTTAAAATGATTGCCTTAAACACACGGGTTGACCCTGGTGACTTTTGCTACCCTTGGGCTACTCCAATGAATGCATTGGCATTTAAAATTGTATAATGTGTATGACATTTTTAAGCACTTGGTCACCCACTGTGGGCAGCAGTTACAATGTACCAAGAAAAATAATAGCAACCACTTAATAACAAGTTGGCAGGCTAATCAGGCAATGCCTTTTCACCAAAAGCATTCTGAATAAGGAAGTGCTCAACACTTTGTTATTGTTTATGGGTGTTACACAACAATGGCGACAGGTGTTGCCTGCTGTGCAAGTGGAACCTGCCTGAGTAAACAGGATCCCTCTCTCTTTTGAGAAGGAAGGCAAATAGTGTTCAATATTTTGCAATGAGAATAATATTATTGAGGGATTATCAGACTATGTCACTTTACTGCGCATGTCTCCTACAGAACGAGCCACTGCCCTATTTGTATCATGTCGTCTCATTTCCAGCAGATTTCAGGCTCTCTCGGGAGGCAGGGCTAGATGTGTCAATCAGGTATGAGTGGATGTCCAGCTACTGAAGTTTAAGACATTTCTTCTTGTCATGTATGCACTCACCTGCATTTAACACATATGGGTCATTAAGACATGTCCCACCCACTAATGTTAATTTTGCATCATAACATATTTTATCACAGGGCGATAAACTGCTTCAGGGCACTGACAACAGCGCTAGCTAGAGTTACAACTTCATGATAACTGCGCAGATAGAGGTGCTTTCTGCACTCAGGCTGCGTGCACATTTCCTGTGATGATAAACAAATAATCTGTCTAAAGGATTGTTTCAGTTTTGCACAAGATGTTTCATCTGTTCATCCTATACAGTACACAGTAAATACAGTTTGATGTAAATTAGACAATTTCTCCAAAGCTGTGGAGCTGTGGAGTTTTGTTAGTAAATGCTGTTTCTGTGCTGTAAACATACTCTGAAATGTGTGTGTTCTGACCTTGAGGTAGCATTGGTAAGTGTTGAAGATGACGGGCTTCTCTTTGTTGTAGATCTTTTGCATGTTTACAGTGAGTCTGCTGATAGCAGGCTGTAAGTAGGTTTGCTCTGCATCCACCATCAGACGCACCCCGTTCTCCACAGCACACTGTAAACACATAAGCCCACACTCATCTCTGTACAGCAAGTGTCATGAGACTCTTAACAATATGGTGCATGTGTCACTGTGCTAATTATACCGGTCATTAGCAGCAGAGCCAGCACACACTTCATTTCAGCAGCTCTATTCTCTGGGAGACACATCTTTTTATATTGTGGATATGTGGATAGCATGGCAGGGATGTGTGTAATGAAGACATATTTCAAGAAGCTTCACTGAAAATGCCAAGACAAAGAAGGAATGTTCTACTGTATAAATGAATTTAAAAAAACTTTCCAACTTTTTGGCATGTTCCTAAGAGAAAAACACAAATGCGCTGGGAACACACTAATGCGTTTTTAAAGGGAGCATACCTTGGCTAATACATCTATACGCTGTAAAATCCGCTGCAATTGCTTTTCATCTTCATCTGTGAAATCCTTCAGTAGAGGCTCCAGCTTGCCCAGCTACAAAATAAAGATAAATTCACAAATTCATTTTTCTAGTCATGCAGTATATAGAATATTTTACTTATAAAGACAACTTTCTCTTTCCTATATTCTCATTTGGTGTTCTAAGGGCTAAGCATGGCAGGGGAAACATACTAAAAGATTAATATAATGATTTTTTATAGCTTTTATATACATATACTTGATACTTTTTGCACTTACCTCAACATTTGGCACAACTAGCAAGTCAGCGCTCCTTTCTCTATCTTCTAAAAGGCTGTTCCAGTCCAGAACATCGATGGTGCTGTCAAGCCAAAAACATGATATTGCATTTGCTTCAGAGCTTCTATAAAACATGGTGGATATAGAGTAAAGCCAGTGTATTCTCACCCGCATGACCCTCTGTTATTTTCAGTAAACCAGCCATGATAGTCCCCAGTGGCTCCCAGTTTGGTCAGGTATTCCTATAGAAGCACACAGACAAATGTAATGTGTTTTGTTGTCAGTAAAATGTAACTAATAACATAACTAATACCTGTAGATTTAAAGGGCTCATATTACACTATTTTCTGATCTATATTATAATGTTGTTTCCACATTGCAAACATAGCTGGAGTTCTGTTTTGATTGTTTATTTAAGACACAAATCCTGCAATCTAAAAACACTCCACCTTGTGATGTCATGTGGTAATACAGGAAGCGCTCTATTGTATTTTTAAAATCCACACACCTTCACTAGAATCATCTGGATAATTTCAGGTCTGGAATTGCCAATGTCTACTAAACAAAATGTAAAGGTAGCTGTAAAACTGACACTTCATGTCATCACAGGGTAGAACAGAGAATTTGAGCTTTGGAAATGTAGAGTAATAAAAAAGGATTGCTCAATCATGTGAATGAAATAAAACACCCAAGGTATGTTTTTGAGGAGAGAACAACATTATAAGGTGGCTTAAAGCTCACAAGAGTTATTTTTGTGTAATATAGGACATTTAATGTACAAGAACAGATAAGTGTCATGTTAAAATAAATATCTGAAGTTTACATTTGTCCTCTTATATATCGGCAGGTGGCCTACATTTATATGGACAGAAGAATCAGACTAATATAATATCAAGAGCAATCTGATAACCCAGTAATTAGATTATTAGCATATGATCACAGGCACAGAAATGTGATAATCTAAAACACTGTGCAGATTTAAAAAATATAGTTTTAGAAAAAAAGCAGTATTTAATTTTTATTTCTGTCCATCTTTTCTATTTTAGTGCCATAAAATAATATCCCACTCCTCCTTCGTAAAAATCCACTGAACTGTCAAATGATTGATCAAAACAGTACAAGATGATAACAAAAAGGAAAAAAAAAAAATCTAAATGGAAAAAAATCAAAAATTTTATTTACCTGTAGTTGTGTTAGGTCAATCCTCTGTTCAAGAACTCCTCCACTGGCCTTCCCCTGCTTCAGGGCCAGAAAATGAAAGAATCTGTGCCACTTTACCAAGACCTCTGAGAACTCCAGCTTCAGAATGAATAAAAAAAACATCATGTTCAGTCCAGTCTATTTCATATTCCTCTTTAAAAAGTCCAAATTTGTTCCGAGCACCTACCAGAAATTGAGGTCTTCCAAGCGCAGTCATTTTGATAGCAGAAAATCCATCCATGGACGTTCCACCTGAATGCCGGATACACTTAGCATTAAAAATTCAAGATATGAAGTCAAAAAGCATGCTGTGTTGCAAATAGTGGTAAACAGGGGACTGTGAATTGGTCTGGACAGTCAGACATGGTTAAATAATTCAACACAACATTGCGTTATTTCTACACTGGATTTACCTACCTGATGCCTTAATACACTTGATAAATGTGGCCATGTGTTGGTCACATTTGGACTCATCTGTATGGAAATATGTTGGCGCTCTGCGTGCTCCGCCATGAAGGCTTGTGTGCTCTTGATATTGTTTCCCTTCATGATCGTTGCCTAGGGATACACACAAATTTGCATTGAGATTACTCCTAATTACATCATTCTACCTCAAAGAATGAGAACAAAATGAGGTGGCTTACCGAGGATGCTTGTGTCTGTGGCAGAGACACAGGAGCTGAATTAGGAAGAATAGAAAGTATACACAAAGTTAGCTTGTTTGGGTGGGATTACTCAACATGGAAGTTTCACAAGATTTCAACAGACAAGCTCATTTCACATAACAAAAAAGTGTGTCTATTAGCTTGTCATGCCTGCACTGAAATAAATTTAGTCCTAGAATGAGTGTTGTTTCCCATTTGCCTATCTATTGAAAAAACCCAAAGTTTACTTGTAAAACCAGTTAGGAGAATTAATATTTGCCAAAAAGATTATCTTGAATGACAGTAAGACCAGAAAAGTACATGTACAGCTCATTATTTTTATGTACTTCTAACTTTTCTGCTATAGGGTCTGCCATCTTCTCGCTTGTCTCTATGGAGATGTGATTGCTCCATAGAGAAAGGGATAAAAGTAAGTAGCACCCCAAAACCAAGACAATAAGATTACATATATTACAAGGTGCTTTTAGCCATAAAAACAACCATAACTGAATAAATCCTACACTGTGAAACATTACAGGCAAAGAAAGAACATCTTCATGGGGACAAGTAGATGGTGTACAGTTCTCTATACCAGAAGGATTACATTGTTTAATTTTAACATAAATATTGCACATTGTGATTAACTTGTGGTTCACCTAATGGAGCTCAACAGTGACCACTCACCCCACGATAAATTTCTCATAAATTTTTCCCATAGCCTTTCCAAAAAATAAGAAGATTAAATAAAATATAAAAGTTTGAAAACTTGCTCAGGGCTAATCAGCTTTGTGGTAACTAATGACCAAAAGATCTATCGATTTAAAATCTGGTTCTGAAATGTTATAAAAAGTGTTTCACATGTGCTTTTTGGACTTCATTTTCATTTTATTTATTTGTTTAGAGCAAAGTAAAACAAAATCAACAGCAATAACAAAAACAACAATATGTACATGTACATATTTGAGACCTGCTCAAAAGAAGTACGATGAAAAAAAAAAACTAAACAAAAAACTTATAATGTCCTACCCTAGTTGTTTTACATAATCAAATGGTTGACACTTTTTTTTTTTTTGTACTTTTGGAGTGCTTACCTATCGTATGCATTTTATAAATATACACACGCAACTATATACCTTAACTTGACTTAACACAGCTGTGTTATGGATATTTGTCACCATGTAGCTGCTTAGCCTTCGCAATGCCTTTGAATTTTTATTTTTTGAAAACTCTTTGAGAAAAATGAATGGAAAATGTACTCCCGGAACCATAGGAGGCAGCCGCTGTTGAGCTAAATACAGAGAAGACAAATAATGCTTAGTCTTTATACTTTTGTGCTTAAATGTCACTATAGATTGCTGCTTATTGTTGAGTTTGTGTGAAGTTAGATGAGCAGACCTTCACCTTATCTTTCACAATAAGTCTGTCAGAATCATTGTCAACATCAAGCCTTTTACTCTTCCTTATGTCTCCTTGTGCAAAGAACTGACTTGTGTTGTTGTTGCCAGTATCTTGACAGATCATTGGAGTGTCTGTCTACACCCGCTGCCTGAGATCAAACTGGCTTAATGTGCCCTGTCCTCCCGCCTTATGGTTTGAAGGTGTATATATATATATTTGCCATACAAAAGCTACACTGGATCTGAGTTTTTGATAGCCCTTTTGATGTTCCCGAGCAGCAGGCCTCTGAAAAGTTATATCAAAGCTGAGCGCAATATCTTGTAACAACTGATGCTATATAAAAAATAAAAAAAAACTTACATTGAGCGAAACAATCAAAACATCTCCAAAAGTAAAGGTATCAACTGTTAAAGCTGCACAAGCTGTGACAAAACTATAGAACAACTTTGTGTATCGCCCTTATTACGCTATTTTGTGATCTATGTTATTTGTTGTTTCTTCATCAAAAACATACATGTGTTGTTTTCATTTACACAAGTTTAACACAGAAACCCTACACATTTAGTTTGAATTCTTCTCTTAAACAGAAAGCACTCCACCTTGTGATGTCATGTGGTCACAGGAAGTGCTCCACTATGTTTTTAAGCTCCATACACTTTCAGTAGAATCATTTGGATAATTTCAGCCCTGGAATTGCTTATCTCTACTGAACAAAAGGTAAAAGGAGCTGTTAACATGAAAACTACCACTTCATATCACAAGGTGGAAAAGAGCATTTTGAGCTTTGGAGATACAGCTAGACTTTCTATCTGAAAAAACAAAACAAAATACAACTCCAGGTATATTTTTGATGAGGAAACAAAATTCTAACGCTGCTCAAAGCTCAATTTTGCATAATAAAGGACTATTAAAGCCAGCTGTCAGGGTAGCGTATTCAAACTATGGCTGAGAGATTAATTGCAATCAAACCAAAATTTGAAATGACACAATTAGCAAATAACAAAGGCTGCAATATTTTAAGTATCATAATTTCCTCCACAAACAATAAAAAATTTAGTGTTATTCTTCATAAAAATGGCTAACCCTGTAGCTTAGATCTGCACAAGCAAAACTGCAGCAAAACAGAAACAAAGGTGTTGTCTTTTTGTCAATTCCTAGATGTGTTTAAAATGTGAACTAGTTTGAGCAGAATCCTATAATTAAAAGAGGAAGCGCAAATCTAATCACAATTGCAATGTTTATTTTTCAAATCGTTCACAGCCCTAATTCAGCCACTTGATGCCTAAGTTTAAAGCTATCAGCTTTGTTTATTCACTCCATTTGCTCTTTGTAAATACAGAGAAAGAGAATGAGATGTGAAAAGGTCAACCCATGTTTGTTCCATAAAAAATACAAGACATTTTAAAGTAATATTTGGTGGTTGATTTTCACTCATTTTAAACCATGCTTGCAGTAGATTTTTACAGTTTTGACCAGTAGAAGACGTTATCTGCGAGGCTGCCTCCTACAAAATATTGACGTAAGTGAAAGTTTTCATCAAATGGCGTAATACATGGAGTGTACTGAAAGTACTGAACTCAACTTTCAAGAAACTAGTCTTTATATGTAGTATACAGTCCATGAGGTAGTGCAATGTATTACCGTAAATAAATTAGACATTTCTGGTTGATCAAATCTAGTGCTGATAAAGTGGATTAAAAGTGCACTAAGTAACTTTTCGGTTGGGGGGTCTGTCAACTTCTTATTTCTACGAATATGTTGTTTCTCTGCTTCAAATGTTTCCACAATTTGACATTAAACAAATCAACCTTATATTTTTTCAATTACAGGTGGATTTATAGTTCAAACATATGCAGAAAAGAGGCATTCTGACTGTGAGCAGGTTTGCCTCTGCACAAATCTGACCAGCAACTTAGTCTGGGTTGGTCTCCATGACGATAGAAGGGTTTAATGCCATACTGTGAAACAGCAATGACATCTCCATGTAGAAAAGCACCCTCCACCAGAAAAGTTACACAATGTACCTTCAAATTAGCAAGACATTTAAGACTACAACTATACAACAACAATTGTTAATGTTGTCAAAAATCAGATACTAATCAATACTAAACTTAATATAGAAACTAGATACTCATTTGAGCAAGTATCAATACTGTAAAAAAAAAAAGAAAAAAGAAAGAAAATATAGTACAATTATTTTGTGCTGAAAATTACATTTACTGTTCCATTGGAGGACCATAGTCATCTTCATTGTGGTATCATAATCGCTATTGAGTACTGTTTTGAAAGTTTGACATTTTAATATCATGACAACACCAGTATGTATTCCAACAAGTTCAGTCCTACCCAAATTAATAATTATTTAATTCCTACACAGTGACCTCCACCTGTTTTTACAACAACCTTTTACAATAACCTTGTGTAACAGCGGCCACTAGTGTTTGCTTTTAAAATAACAGTGTCTAATTTAAAAGGTATTAGTAATGGTTTATTTTGCTAGAGTATTCCTTGCGTAATAAAGGTAACTGCTGCCCAGAGGCGGTGTTGCATAAGACTTGTGATTTGCCTTGGTCTCCTTGTGGCACTAGATTCCACAGAAGTGTAAAATTCTTCCCAGCCAGTCTAGTATCATGGTCAAAACAAACTCCAGTCATTTGATCAGCTCAGTCTTGTGACAACTTTAGTCTCGAAAGCAAAAGCAAGTCAACACAAAGTTGGAAAGGGACTATATACATGCAACACTGAGTAAATGTATTCCACTATAGTTGCAACTTAACAGACTATGTGTAAGTTAAAAAAAAGACATTTCTCTTTTACCTCTCCAATAACCTAACCAAATTGTATACATAAATCTCCAACTGTCCAGCGATAAAAGCTACTACTTATACAACTATTACATTTCTGCCTCAACTATAACAAATTTACAATTGTCCCATTAAAGGTGCACTGCGTAAGATTTCTAGTGGAGGGTCAGACTGCCTGTATGTCTCCATGGAAATGTTGTTGCTTTGTCTACAATATTCCACAGTATAGATTAAGCCTGTCTCTCACACGGGAGACAGTTTGTACCAGTATGCAACATTACAGTTCAGATCTATGGAGAGTCGCCCCTATTCACTGAAGAAATTATTGTATTTTTGAACAATACAAACACCCGTAATGAAGAAATGCTCAATGTATATGTTTATGGTCATACCATGGAACATTCCAGGCAAAGCAATAACATCTCTATGGAGACATGTAGGTGATGAACCCTTCACCAGAAAAGTTGCACAGTGCAACATTAAATGAATGAACGTATACTATTCAGACTAATATGGAAAGTGGCTGTACGTTGCCTTTCATGATTTTCAGTGAGTTTGTGATTACATTGTAAAACTTCCATACCCTTTTTCCTCTGTTTCCTCAGATCTGATGTCTTCCTCAACGCTGTAGTCCAACACAGAGCCCACGCCATAGGCCTGGTTCTTTTGGATGAGGGGTTTAATGGCCACGTGGTCCTCACCAGCCACAAACTGGCCATAGAAGGTCATCTTCATCAACTGGTTAAAGGCTCTCGGCCCCAGAATCCTCTTACCCAATGCAGTAATCTGGGCAGAGAAAAATGCAGATGTGATTCTGAATAAAGAGTTAAAGGAACCATATGTAACCTGCTCTGTTACTGTTTTAAAAAGTATTAACTGAACCTGGGTTGCAGTGTCTTAACCTGTATATAGAGGACATATACAATCGTTTTTCTCATTCTCAGAATATGGACAGGCCTCATGTGAATATTTGAAACCTTTAGAATTCACTCAATAAGCCTCTGCTGCATGACTGGCTGCAGGTGCTTATGTTTATGTAGTGTTGATTCAGATCAGAGACCTTTTAGGTTTAAAGCTGGATTTCAGCATTGAAATTAGCAGCCCAAATGAGAGAGGAATTCTGCTCTACTTCATATTTGGATACACAGGTAGGTCGTGTTTGACATGTAAGAACAAAATCTTACTTACTGTGCGTTTAAGCAAAAATTGAGTCTGAACATGTTTTGAAGCGAGCAATTCTTGACCAACTACATTTTTGTTATATAATTGTGTTTTAAAAAATATTTAAATTGAACAAGAAAAAAAAGGCTAATATGGGCTACTGCAGGCTATGTAACTCACCATTCACATAGACTCACACAAACTTGATCATGAAAATAATTATGTGACATTGCTTGCTGTGGTGTTGTTGTACAGTGGTGTCTCTACTGCAGTGCTGTTCACAAGGCTTCTTCTAACGTGCTAGAAAACTGGTTGTAACGTGAGATGTCACTGTTCCACGTGAGCCTGAGGCATTTGAACATGTAAGAGCTCACTCATGTAATGACCAACAACTCTGTTTACAATCTGTTTTGGTGTATATCCCTGTGTTAGTTGTGTTTCCTAATAGGGTTTTGGCCTGTATTTATAAAGTATACAAATCTGCTCGCGGGCAATAGCACATTTTGGACATTCTTCTCAAAATATTTTTGGTACAAACTAACAGAAATACCTGAGGTGTGAGCGCCACAGATGGACCTAGGCTGGGTACTATGGACATTCTAATGTGTGGTGCACAAGCGGCCAGGTTGCAGCTCATTACCTCTTGATTCTTGTCGACAAGGAAGTCATAGGAGCAGAGTTTGAAAACCACCAAACTTCTGAGCAGTTCTAACGAGTCTTTGCTCTTATACGCCTCCTGGGTCTGTTCAAAGTCTACGGAGATCTCATTAGCGCGGCTGGGAGGAGAGCTAGGGCCGTGCTTCTCTTGACCCAACTGTCCGGGACAGTCCGACTCCTGCTCGGTGCCGCTGACGTCGCTGTCCGCCGGTGCGTGCTCTGTCCGCGCAGCAGAAACAACTGAGGAGCTGGAGCGGGCTCTTTGAGGAGAGAGGAATTGTTTAACCCCTGTCCGAGTCAGGGATGGCACAGTCCTCACATGAAACATGAGTTTGATAAGTTCCCTTTCCAAGTGAAAACTAAAGCGTCTGTTGCATCCGCTGCGGTTGGTTTGGCTCCTCTGACGCAAAGTGCCCGGAGCGCAGGTGCGCACAGTCCGCCCTTCTGTCCCACCTTCCCTTCTTGTCCTATTACAGGCTCTGCATGTAAATGAAGCAGAGTCGCTCATTATTATGTAATTATAACAATGTTTTTGTCTAAATTCCTGCATAAGTGGATATGTTTACTGTTAAATATATTGTAGCGACCTACAAACTGTCGCAATGCTTTATGGGATTGTTTTTATTTGGGGCTAGTTATTGACAGGGGGGGCTGAAATATGAGCCAACCTGTTCTCACGGTTTTCTTATCGTAACTGTCGTTACAATATTTAATGGTTAGTTATTCCCTCTCAACAAAGTCAACAAAGTTTATTTTATGAACTAGGACACATTCCTGCAATCTCTTCATGTTATCAATGAATACAGTTCTCTGCGCAGCATGCACGCACTTGCAGCTCAAAGAATAACTTGTTTGCTTAAGTCTAATGTCTCATGTAGCTTCCATTGTTAAACAAAAAGAAATATAATAGCCTACTGTAACTTTTTACTTTCTAAAACAAATGTTAATATGCAGTTAGTTCGCAACAAAACGTGTATTTATCTTGTACCGGCACCGGGTGTGCCATTCTCAGTTCACGCGCATTAACAGATGGGGGAGCCATTGTCATGTGATTGTGCAGCTGCCCTCACCCTTCACCCCCCCACTCACTCACTCACTTTGGTTTCAAGTGACACACACACACACAGACACACACACACACAAACGAATGGATGTGAATATTGCCTAGGTGTGATACATCAGTTTTAATAGTGTAACCTGGTTATTACCCATAGACCTAAATAAATGCCAACTGTTAGTTTCTGTTTAGTTTTTTTCTTTAAATAATATATTTTTTAAAAGTGCAATGTTGTTTTCTAAAACACTGATATACGGTTATAGAGTTTTTAGGTTTAAGTCTAAAGACAAAGCTAGTTTGGACCCTGTTGCGCATACAGGCCTGCGTAAATTGGTGGCGCACGCATGGCGAACAGAGCCAAAGATAGAGTAACAAATCAGGAATTTCCCTCCTGCCACTCCTGAGAGCGCACGAGAGGACAAAAGTTATGGAGTAGCCCACGTCCTCATTTGGACAGAGGAAGGGACCGGAGTAAGATGTTCTGCTGAAGTTTGGACACGATTTGCAGCTGTATGCGCGAAGACATCTCATTTGGAAACTATTTGCTTTTGCTCCGTTATGTGCGTGGAGCCATCAGTTGAGCTGGAGGACCCCTTTTGCTGTTCGTGGGATTGACGGCGCCGAGCGACGTTTACCAGCTCACCGATTTTAGAGTTGTGGAGTTTTTCAGCTCTGCGGTTGCTGCGGACCTTTGAAAGATTCGCTGGACCTAGGATTTGTGTTTACTTTACATTGAAGGATTATTTAAGAAGAAAACTGTGCTTTCCTGGTTACTTCATCTTTTGTGAGGAAGGGAAGTAAGGAGTAAACGAAGCGCCAGAAAGATGCTGCTGCTTGTACAATGGATGTGAAGAACTTTTTAGCTGTTGTTGTCGTGGTTTGTCTATACGTTTGCTCCGCATTCAGCCAAGAACTCAACCCTAAAGGCAAGAATGTATGCAGAACACATGGGTAAGGCAACAGTAACGGACACAAAAGTAGGCTGCAAAGTTTTGTCTCCTCAGAACACACATTTAACTTTTCCCACGAGTATTACTTTGGTTATTTTCTATTGCTGAACGTGGAATTTATGCGAATGTAGAAGTAGACAGGCCGCTCGAGTTGCGGTTCTGTATTGGTTCTGGTGAAAATGTGGAGGCCCGTGTTACAAAGCCACGTAGAGTAGAAAAAAACTGTTCTCTCTGCATTGTTTTGTGTAAGTTTCTTGCTTAAACGTACAAGAACACATTGCAACTCTCTCCTTCAGTCTCCACAAGCATTGTTCAACCTTCAGCCATACAGATGTGTGCATCTGGTAGCAGCGTGCATTGGTCTGTAGAGGGCGCACCTGGGGCATGAGGCTTTTGTAAAATTGGTTCGTAGTAGGCTAGTTACATAATTAATTTGTGTGGGACGCATGCAAGGCCTATATAACTTAAGTGGCTTTGAGTCTAAACACGTGTGGGCTTTGTTTGTAAAATAATGTGACAGAATAGTGCTGTATGTTGTATGACAGCAGTGAGATCAGAGTCCCTTTATTATTGAAAGAAAGAAATATAGACATATTATCCTGTCCACCGTGAGTATGAAAAAAGGGAGGAAAGCATTCAGTACTACGCTGATTTCATGCCACGCTATTGACATGTTGTTGTTTTTTTGTTTGTTTGTTGTTGTTGTTTTTTTGGGGGGGGGTTTGTTTGTTTGTTTTTTTTGACAAAATCTGTCTTTTGTAACTTCCCACTGTGGTAGTAAGTGTAACTGCATCAGGTTAAAGGAGTCTCCAGCTGCACGTGCCTTTTTGGCTGGGATGAAAAACAGTGTTGCTCTGCGCCGGCTGACTTGAAGCACAGCACCATCTTCAAACACTTTGGGGAAGCTGACGTGTTGCAGAGGCCCCACAGAGGTCACAGGCTTGGGAGGAAGAAGAGAAACATCGGTTTGCTCCTGACAGAGCCAAAAGCGAGCCGCTCCGTGCTGCTGAAAACTCACACTCCTCCAAAGCAGGCAGCGAGCGGGGTTAAGGGCTTTCACATTACACATCCTCCCAAATCAGATATTATTGTCAGCAGATGAGCATATGTTCGGCAAATGTGGCATTTGTAATGCTCCGTTTGAGATATTCTTTATTATAAATGTTAAGATCAAAGAGAGAGGGTTAAAAGAATGCTCTGTGTATCCATCTATGATGCAGTGTATGTAACAGAGAGGTTTGATTTTCTCTGAATGTCCAAACACTGTTTGCAGGTCACCAGGAGTCGTGTGCTGCAGTGGATGGGGACAGCTAGGGGATGAATGCCCCACACGTATGTACCTCATATAAAAAATGCACTGCATTAAAACATTAAAAACCCTTTGAATAATGTGTTCTGTTTTGATAACTGTAGCTCTGTGTGAGGGAAACTTCACCTGTAAAGAAAATGAGGTCTGCGTTCGGCCTAATGAATGCCGCTGTAGACATGGATATTTTGGAGCCAGCTGTGACACTAGTAAGTCTCTGTTTTGATTTATTTTGTTGAGGTCTGTTAAGATCCACATATAGCATGTCTTGTATTGCTTAAATGTGTTCCCTGAAACAGAGTGCCCTGCTCAGTTCTGGGGTCCTGACTGTAAAGGGAAGTGTCACTGTTACCCCAATGGGCAGTGTGATGATTTGACCGGAGAGTGTACCTGTAACCACAATCGCTGGGGCCCCAACTGTGAGCATGCCTGCCTCTGCCAGAAGGGCAAGTGTGACCAGGACACAGGCAAATGCACATGTCACCCCGGGGCCTGGGGCCCTCAGTGCAACAACAACTGTTACTGCAGCATCAACTCTGTGTGCGACGCCATGACGGGACGCTGCCAGTGCAGCCCCGGCTGGATGGGGCGCAACTGTGCTGTTCAGTGCAACTGTAACAGCTCTCCATGTGACCAGTTCACCGGGCGCTGCCAGTGCAAAGAGAGGCTGTGGGGACCCAGGTGTGAACGCTACTGTCAGTGTATCCACGGCAAATGTAACCCCGCCGATGGATCATGTACCTGCACACCAGGATACAGGGGCAAGTTCTGCAGGGAGCCATGTCCAGCCGGCTTTTATGGTCAAAACTGTAGGTACAGGTGAGGAAGAGGAGACATGGAACTGCTGATTCTTCCTTTCTGCTTGTATTTCTCACTGTGTACCTGTATCTCAGGTGTGGACACTGCAAAGGGCAGCAGCCATGTAAAGTGACAGAGGGCCGCTGCATCACATGTGACAGAGGCTGGAACGGCACGCGTTGTGACCAGCTCTGTTCCAAAGGGTTCTTTGGTGAAAACTGCCAAGAGGTGTGTCCCACCTGTAAGGACGGTCACCACTGTGACCCCATCCAGGGCAAGTGCTCTCACTGTAACGCTGGCTGGATTGGAGACAGGTAATCATAACACTGGTGTGGGCAAAAAAAAAACACAATGCATGTTTGTCTTTAGTGTCCTGTAATTTTAGCTCATCAGCTGTAGCTGCTGCAGCATTTACAGTCTTGAGTCTTCCTCCAAACCTGATGATGACAGTAATCATGGCACTCTTGTCTGTGACTTGTCTGTGACAGGTGTGAGGTGCGCTGCCCCAATGGCACTTATGGAGAGAACTGCGAAAACAACTGCAGCCACTGCTACAATGGCCTGTGTCATTTTGTGACCGGAGAGTGTTTGTGTGATGCAGGCTTTTATGGAACATAGTAAGTAACGCCCAACAATAATATCTCATATTTTCTTCTAAGAGCATGTTATAAAATGCATTTAGAAATATTGTGATTTATCTGAGATTAATTGTGTTTTTGCACTATTTTTATTTATTTTTTTAAGTTGCAACATGACCTGTAAACCTGGCCAGTATGGAGTGAACTGCAACCAGACATGCTCCTGCAACAGCAAGAACTGTGACCCTGAGTCTGGCGCCTGCTATCTCCGTAAGTAAAGACAGTTTTATAAGTCTGACAGTAATGTGAGAAACTAGTGTGAGACTAAATAAGTCATTTTAACTGTCATAAACCAGCTTAAAACTTTACCTAAACGACAGATGCCACTGCAGCAGACAAATGGGTCTTTTCAGTTGAATGTGAGCATTAGAGCTAACAAGGCCTTGATAGTATTTCCAGATGCACACCGGTAACCAATGTCCTTTTTATGGCTGTGTTTGTTGGCTGTCTTCCTGTCCAGCCGGAGTCAGAGGAAGGAAGAAGAAAATAGAGCATGATGGCAGAAGGGCAAGAAAAAATATTTGAGGAAAATAGAAGAGAAATATTGCTATTGCAAGCATGCGGGACTTTAAATTAGCAGTGAAGATTTTGTTGTTTTGAAATGTCACTGAGGTCAGCTTTATTTGTTGTGTGCTTATTGTTCCCTCTATCTCTTTCTTGGCCTGTTTACTCTTACAGATTAAATTATTGCCCGCGGTACTTCAAAACAAAGTATAAAGTTTACGTAAAAGTTGTATTTACTGTACTTTTTGCTCAGACAATTACTTTGACTATTGGAACTGTGAGGAGGCCCATTTCTACCCATTCTATTGCTGTTTAGTTTATATCATTTCATTTTAATTTTTAATATGATAGACACAATACACAATAATTCACTGAAGATCTGCTTTGAGACAGCAGCTGCAAATATGGATAGAGACCAGAGCTAATGTTTATCCTGTCTACGACTTCCACTTACATACAACTATTTATATTGTCTACTTATACTTACATACTACATTTTCTATTATTGCTTTTGGTGCTACTGATATAAATACTACTGCATTGCACCCAAACCTGGAATCTAAAAGTGAGAACATTTTACTCAAACTTCAGATCAAAAAATGTCTGCAAGGAATACTTAATCTCAGTAAATTGACAGTACGGTGTCTGAATGGCTAGCACTCACACTACACAGAAATAAGCGGCATTGAGGGATGTCTCAAAGGCAGAGGACAAATTTCCCTATGGTGACAGTAAAGTGTAGTATTACCTCAATTCATAATAATTAATCATTATCCAAAAGATTCTTTCTTTTAAGGCTTACTATATATTGCACAGTAGTTTACAATAAAGCAGTTATCATCATGTGGGTTTACCTTTGATATTGTGGGAGGAGCAGGAATAAATCACTGTGGTTTAAGTGAAATTAACATGAGTTTGTACAGTAGTAAATTTTATAATGTTAGGATAATAATTACTAATATCAACCAGTGCTTCACAGTCAAATTCCTACTGTTTCTGTGGCATCGTATAAAACTAGCAAACTGTTTTAGAGTTAATGTTTTGCTAAAGGTGTACTATGTATTGCTTTTTTTGTTGTTGTTGTTGTTGTTTTTTTGATGGAGGGTCTGCAGTCTGAGGATGGGGATGTTATTACTTTGCTCGGAAATAAGTTCATTCCAGTATGATATTAAACATATCTATGTTCTTGGAGACAAGCAGGTCAGATCTGTGGAGAAGCGACTCTGCTCACATTTATTTCAAAGTATTGATTTAGCAATTAAAACACATGCAACATTTTTATGTATTTATTTTTTGATAGGGACAGTGCATATTAATGAACATCTCTAATTACAATGTAAATATGCCAGATTTTAGCACAGAAGATCATTTCCATCTGTTGTCCCTAGACATGTGACACGGAGTACAAATACAAAAAAACACAAACTGTAAAAGGCCACATTAAAAGTGTTCACAGACTTGGTTATCCTTCATTCACAGCTTAAAGTGCAGTTTGAATGTAGAGAGAGGTGGGCTTTGTCTTATTGTCAATGGGAGATTGTTCCAATAATTAGTCCCTTTGACAGACAGAATTGAGCAAATGTTAAAAAAGTTTAGTGCCATACTGTGAAACATTCAGTGCTTAACAATTATCTCTCATGAAGAAAGCAGGTGATAGACCCCACATGAGAAAAGTTACATAGTGCACCTTAAAATATTTTTATGGCTGTCTTTCTTCACCAACTTTGCACATTAATTATGTACATCTACTCTCATGTTTCAGAGCCTAACCAGCGCATGGGCGTGATCGCAGCCGGGACCTTGGTCGGCTTCTTACTCATTGTCCTCCTCTCAGTGCTGTTCTGCTGCTGCCTCTGTCGACACAAAGATGACCACAAGTGAGTGATGGTTGCTTGTATAAACACTGTCCTTACCACAGTGGAAGAGTTCATAGTTCCCAATAGGAGGTTAAACAAATAATGGGAAAATATCTCTCTCTGCTTCTCAACGGGATGCTAAGTGAATAAACGTGCATAAACTGTATTTTAAGTACTTTTATATATTGACATTACAGTAGCAAGCAGCCTCTGAGCCCTCAAAAAAGCTTAGGTCCAAGTTTAATGAGCCTGTTGAATGATTCATTTGTGTTTCCATGGCGTCATCCCTTTTCGCTAACCAAGACAACTTTTACCAACAGCAAAAAAGCCAAGCGGATCCTGTGTGGACGATTCAGCCGCATCAGCACAAAACTCCCCCGTATTCCACTGAGACGACAAAAACTGCCCAAAGTTGTCGGTAAGCCTCCAAACTCTGTCTCATATCCCACCACACACTGCCAGAGGGGCCCATGTTTTATGTAATCATCTCTCCACGGCCTGTACAACGCAATAACCTCTAGTCTATCATTAGGAGGTACCTCAGTAGCTGTTATTGTTACACGCTGGTCTATTGTAGTGTCTCGCAGTGCAGTAGTAGGTGGTAATTGTATTATTCACAAGGAGCAGAGGTGGAAAACTACTCTAATACTCAGGAAAAAGTGCTGTAAATAAATTAGTGCTGGAACTAATCTCAAACTAGTACTAAGTACACATACTTTCTGTGCTCAGCAAAATATCCCAACTACTATTATTACGATGGCTTTCATACAACTTATACCACAATTACATATTTCTAATACGTCTTTGAATATCACAACTGTTGCTTCCATTTTACAATAGATCAAAATAGCAAAGAGCAAATATATGATAAAATACCTTTGCTAAAGCTACCACCCACAAGTATGTGATTTTTTTTTATTTTTTTTCACCAGTAGATGGTAGATGTGAAACCTGTTACCCCTCCCCCTCACTTGGCCTTTGTTCAGGCTCCCCTGTGCTCGCTGGTCTTCTTCTGTCAGGGCAAAACTGGCACCTTAACAGACAGCAGTAACATAGATAGCATCTAGTGGTGATATGTGAGAATACAACCGGGCGGGTTGATCAATCTAATTACAGATGGTAGCTATAAAGTTACGGTGTGTTTATTCATGCCCTTGGGTAAACCAAAACAGACATAATGGTCTTGATATTTCAGTGATCTTATTTAAAAGCCCAATATTGCACAAAATTGACTCTTGTGACCTTTAAGCCATGTTATAATGTTGTTACCTTCTCAAAACATACCTGGAGTTGTGTTTTGTTTCATTCACACATGTTTGAGTAACCCTTGATTATTAGTTTGTCTACATCTCCAAAGCTCAAAATGCTCTGTACCACCTTGTGATGTCATGAAGAGGCAGTTTTCAGGTTCACAGCTACCTTTTACCTTTGGTTCAGTTGAGATTCTAGTGAAGATGTATCAAGTTTAAAGAGAGAACAACTCAGCCTAAATATGTAAGAACTGTGTGTTAAATGTGCAAATAAAACAAAACACAGCTCCGGGTATGTTTCTGATGAGGAAAAATAACATTATAACATGGATCAGAAAATAACGCAATATGAGCCCTTTAACAGGACAATAGCTGCAGGGAGAAGTCATATACTTTCTCACTATTAACACTTAACTTATAAAACAACTGAAACAAGGGCATGCATGTAGGTGTATTGTACAGCAGTAGCAGTACATAGATTGTGAATATAGGGTTGAAACTTGTATTGTGGCTGCCAGGCAAATATGAGGTTTCATTTGAAAGGAATGTTCTGGTTTTACAGTCCCTTATTATTCTTGGCACCCCAAAATACCATGTGTTCATATTATTACAACCATCTTTTTACCTCTTTCCATCATCTTCTGCCTCTCCTTACCCGGACCATTTCTCAAGGGTTGTAGAGGAGACTGTTATTAAAAGAGAGTGAGTGGCAGTTGGGGGCCGGGTGGTGCTGAGTGACGCCTTATCAAAGACTGCTCTGTTTGGGTGGACACAGCAGTCGCACTGGCCTATATGTGGAGGTCTCGTGGGCTATGGTCTGATAAAATGAGACACAAGGAAAATATGCAGGGAGTATTTAAAATGCTGGAACTTTATTGTTGGGATAATAAAGAACCAATGCTAGGCTAAAAGCAATGGGAGTGCACTGGTAGTTGGCAAGGTTTTATCAATTGCTGTGATTCTTAAAAATACATTTCCAACCATAAGGACTACGTTGAAATAGTGGTGGGCTATAATGAGATCATATTTTGGCAATCCATCAGAAATGTGCTACAGCACGTCTAGGCTGGTGTTACAAGTGACTGGACTGTGCAATTAATCACATTTTAAGTGAGATGTGGTCATTTTTCATCAGTGTTCGCTTGAGTATTTGAGAGGTCCACAGTAAAATGTCTGTCAATTAGAGATAGACCGATATATTGGTTGGTGCATAAAACTTTATTTGAACAATTAAGTATGAAGAAATAACAGCGTAAAATGTGACTACACTGCTCTTTTATAGATTTACGACAAAAAAGGTTGAGTTTATTTTATGTAATTTGGAGAAAATATTCAAAATGTGCCCTATATATCAGTAGATTTTGAAGGAAGAAATCTGACTGCCGTTAGTGTTGATTAATAGTCTCTGTGGCCTATGTTTAGGAAATTCGTATTGGAAGACATTTTTATTTCATTTTTATTTAGACAGCATAAATTTTATCAAAAATCTCTATCAATGTATCCAAGAAAAGAACTTGTGTTCAATGTTGAGGTCATCCAGCAGGTCATCGCAAAAGTGACTGTAAAATGAAACCAAAACTAAGAGCTAAATTGACATATAATGCTGCCATTGTTCAGTAGGTTATGTTGTAAGTTTATGTTTTGCAGATTTTGACTGTTTTTAAAATTCCTTACTATTTGTATTTTTTTTATTTTATTTTTTTTATTATCAAAGCAACTATTTCGATTTCTTGTAGACAATATTGTCCACAACTAACTTTACCTTTTTCCAACATTTTCCCAAACATAGACAGTATATAGTGTGCTGGTGGTATTCCCCAGTGTTTTATGTCTGTTTCCCCAGGTTATATGAAACAGACCAGCATTTGCTCCCTAAAACTGCCTTGCGGTTTTATTTGCACGCCATGGGGGGGTCTGACAAAGTGGTGGGAGGTTACAAAAATGCTGACCTGGTTTAATTTTTATGTCTGAACAGCATGTGTTTGCTCACTTATCCTGCTGATTGTTTTTAAAGCTATATTCAGTTTCCTGAAAGGTATAGCAAATATACAACAGTAGCTCAACAGTAGTCTTTGTGAGCATAGTTAGCTAGAGATATCATAAGAAAGCACGCTGAAAGTGAGAGACTTGTCAGCATCAATTTCCCTATCGGATTTGCCACAGAACTATCGTCTATGTGTATATCAAAAAGTATCTGCTTCAATGGTTACATGTGTCTATTATTCTTTTACCACTTTTTGGTTTTGTTGCGTTTAGTTTGTAGCCCACAGAAGCGTGTAGTGTCAACATGTACAGTGTGTGAGTTGGCCTCCTCATTTGTGCACATGCATTCCTGAGGAGGCCCACTGGAGCTGGAAACAGGAAGTGGTCAAATTTACCCCAGAGTGTGTCAGAAGTGTGATTTATCTGCCTGAGGCAAAGCTTTTTACTACACAGAAGAGATGCAGAGTAGGGCTCATATGAGATAAACATGCAATATTTGATGACTATGCTTTGACATAAAATATGATTATTAAAATATTATCCTTAATATATCCTCTGAAAGTTCTAGTTACTTTTAGACTTTTTTTTGTGCCTACTTTTTTGGCAAAATGTTTCAGTCATCCAGCTACCTCCATTAGTTGCATTTTTTACTCATTTGAATGTACTTTTTAATACAAAAAAGTTTAGCAAAAATAAATAATGAGGAATATTCTGAATAAATAACTACCTTTATTACATCATGATTCCTGTCCTATGAATAACTTTGTGTTGTTATGATATATTGAATTTCATGGTATATCAGTTATTGTGTTAATTGTGTTGTTATTGCCAATATTGTGCAGCCCTAATGCAGAGACAGTGGTGGTCCTACACTAATTTACTCCCCAGGCGAGATCTCCTGGGGGCCTAGGACCGCCCCTGTGCAGATACAAGCACATGTACTCACAGATAGCTTCATATGTCTGGCTATTCCCTTTCTGGCACTTTGGTTACTTAGCATTCCACTCTGAGCATATTTACCCCACGCCCTCCACACTTATGTCTGATATTTCTTGCATCCGCGGTGTCCAAATGTATCCCCGTGGATCAGTGGAATAGCAACACCTGCTTTTCAGTTTTATTTATCCAATGAAAGTTGTGCTGGATTACAAATCTGTTTGCTGTTCCACTCTGTGCATTGTGCACTGTGTGCTGCCTGCTAAAATGCCAAGACATCAGCGGGAATGAGAGTGGAGAAGTAGACTTTATAGATACAATAATCATACATCTTGTGTAGTTTTATAACTAAACTTAAGGGAACTTTTGATGTTTTGTTTTTCACCAGGCTTCTTCCCTGTCATCTAAGCAAAGAAAATGTGTTCTGTTTTTCAAGCTTTTACAATTTTAAAGGGGGATTATAGTTTTTGTCTTTTCTTTAGACAAAAACACTGACTGTCTATATAATAATCTTACATAAATGCATTGTGTCTGGGTATGCTTGGATTTGATGCTTGTTTCCTTTTTGGATATCTGGAAAAGGGTTATACAAATGTTTTGTATTACTAAAGGTGCACTATGTAACTTTTCTGGTGTAGGCTCCACCTGCTTGTCTCTGAAATGCTTTGCTTTGCTTGGAATGTTCCACAGTATGGCATTATACATGTATGTTTGAAGTTTATTAGTAATTTTATTTTGATTTTTCACAGACAAAAAAAATATAAATATGAAGAGTTCAAAGGCATTGCTGGAGCTAACTAGCAATGTGGTAACTACTACACTATAACATGATTGTTTTATGTACAAAAGGCATATTTAAAATGCAAGATTTGGCAAAATGTTTTAATAACTTTGTGGTTTACAAAGTTTCAAAAATCAATTTCACATATCATAGCTGCTTAGCCTTGAGCAAACTTTCAAACTCTTAAGATCCTTTTTTTTTTTTTTTTTTTATCTGGGAGAAAAAAATAATTAGAAATGTCCTTCCGGAGCCAGGCATGGACATAATGTTACTGTAAGAAGTGAAAAATCCACAATATACACCATTTTCAACATATATTATCTGTTTAGAGCATGTAAGTATAGCAGTTAACTTCATGGGCTACACAGCACCTCTGCGGCAGGTCTGTAAAAGCATTCCCCCCCCTGAGCAACTGTGCAGGGGTGGCTTTGCAGCTGGGGCAGGGTCAATAATACCCTTTTGTGCAGTAGCCTCCAAAGAGTCCCGAGTGGAGCCCAGGGAGCAGATTTCAAGGGCAGCAGTTGTTCACCACTATGTACATGCCATGTTACCAAATGCCCATGTGTTAGAGTGTTGACTAACTTGACTGGAGGCCTTGCATAGGTCGGCTGTTCCACATTCTTCACTTCTTACTTACAAGAATGGAGACACTTGAATGACCATGGTGTTTTCATGATATGGACCATAACGTAGGTCAGATTTTTTAATTTAAAAACTGGGACATACTCGAGTTGGGATGGATGGTATAAATACTGACTTTTGTGTTAATTTGAGGGACTTCTGACTGTGCATTTTTCTGCCTTATGCTCACTTCAAGTGTTTCTTTCCGTATTGTTGCTAGACAAACTGCAGTATTTAACTTTCTTCATTGTAAAAAACAGAAATTTTAAGTTAAGATGACTTGAATTAAAAATGTTTTATCATGATTTGAGTAAATTTCACTTGTCAAGTAAAATTATCTACCAGTGGAACAAGACTTTTTGTCCTTAAAATTTGAAAATACATCTTACACACTTAAGAAAAACAACTCTTTACACTTAAAATAAGAAACTAAATCTGATGTTGCTTGAATTAAGAAAAACACTTATTTCACTGGTAGACAATTTTACTTGTCAGCTTTACTTGTTTTTCTTGTCAGTCTACTCAAATAAACAAAACATTTTCTTAATTTAAGTGATTTTAATTTATCTAGATAATGTTTTTGCAATGTTTACTGTTAGTGGGTATCAAATTGGTCAAATATAGAGACATCTGGGACATTTCTTGTATATAACTCAGAAAAATCACTGCTTTTGGATGAATCTGCTTGAACATTGGACACAGGGCTCAAAACTGGGACTGTCCCGGATCACCCTACCATAACGTCAACAACAACACAAAAGCCTTTTGTTCATATTGTGTAAATGGCTATGTGATACCTGCTTAGACTCAACTCACTTTATAATTCAGGCATGTTGAGCCTGTAATCTTGAGTTGTCTTTAGTTGGAAGTTTGTCCCCACTAGTTTTCCAAATTGATGTTTTTGTGTCTGCAGTAGAGCTTGTCTGAAAAATAGTCATGCACAAAGCTGTATGTCTGTTATGCTTGTCAGTCACGTAACTCAAGGATTCTTCAGTCAGATAAAGACGAGGTCGATACGAATTCTGGAAACACTTAAAATATTTTCTAATGATCTAAGAGCGTATTTATCATATTTTGAGGACTAAATCTGTACACAAATTCCATTCATGGGAACTTGCCTTCCTTTTGGGGATACAAATCAGGTCCCCATGACGTAAATACTTATTTTTTAGAAGAACAACATGATCTTAAGTTATGATCTGGGTCAGAATAGTTCAAGGTAGGGTTTTAAGCTTAGGCAAATAGTAGGTACGGTTAAGGTTAGATTTGGTTTCTAAGAATTATAAGTTAATGCCTCCAAAATTTGTAGGTAGGTGTGTTTGTGAGTGTGTGTGTCTACAATAAATAAAAAACAAACCTGCAAATGATGATATAAATACATGCTGCTTCATACAGCAATGGAAAAAGTGAATTCATTTTAGTGTTTTACTGTTTGTTGGCCCTATATTAAAGGATTATGGTTCTTTGTTTATTTAAAGGGCCCATATTACTCTTTTTCTGATCTGTTACAATGTTATTTACTCATCACAATCATATCTGGTGTTGTATTTTGTTTCAATGACATGTTTAACATGCAAATCCTGCATATTTAGGGAATTTACAGTGCTTCTCTCAAACTGAAAACACTTGGTTCCACCGTGTGATATCATGTGGTAATAAAGGACAGATCCACTGTTTTTAAACTCCACATACCTTCAGCCCAGCCAGTCCCTACTGAACAAAAGGTATAAGGTAGCTGTTATCTTGAAAACTACCATATGACATCACAATTTGGAGCAGAGCATTTTGAGCTTTGAAGTAGACAAGACTATTAATGCAGGGTTACTCAAACATGTGTGAAGGCAACAAAACACAACTTCAGGTATGTTTTTGATCAGGTAACAACATTATAACATGGCTTAAAGTTCACAAGAGTCAATTTTGTATAATATAGGACCTTTAATAGAAAGAACCATCTGTGCAGGCTTTGTGACCTACATTTTTGCCTTGTAAATTTAGAAGCAGCGGTCATTCAGGAAGTGATTTAGCAAGAGGAAGATGAATGGTTTTAGGAAATAACAGACTAAACAGATCAAGCCACACATGCTTTTTGTAAATACAGCAACACACTCTACATAAACAATTCTCCCACAAACACGTTAATTTGTGTAGTTTAATTCCAGTTTGAAATCAAATTCTAAATCTTTGTTCTTGTAGTTGAAAGCTGCAGATGGCCTGTTCGTCTTTGGCAGCATAAACAAAGTGTATGTGATGATATAGTCATTTGGTTCAGGTGGTTAACGCCCAAAAGTCCATTGTTCAAACCAGGGAGGGAAGGGTCATGGCAGAGGTCTCACACAAACCACAGCTGGCCACAGCAGGTCAGCAGAATCATACACTGTCTGGAAAGTGAAGTGAAAATTTAGTGCAATCTTTGACCTACTTTTTTTTTCTTAGTAAAGTAGCTGAGATTTTTCTGAAATTCTTGGGAAATGTTAACATTGCGTAACTGTTATTTGGCTTGACTGCATATTTTGTAATTTATTAGTGGATACTAGGGAACCGTAAAATTTTTGTGTTTGGTTTAGAGATTGGCCACATACATTGAATCTCTCCCAGTGATGTCTAACCTGATGATTACTTATGTTAATTGTATGGTATTTCTGTCTAAATGAAAACGATTAAATAATACCATGACTTCTTGATACTATTGTAGAAAAAGGTCCAAAATGTTAAGTTGAGAAAAATTGTTGAATTAGAGCAAACCTAGGCCTGTCAAGATAAGTATCAACTACAATATTGAATACTATTTTGGGGGTGGTCAGTATTTATCGGTATTATCAGTATTATTAGTATTAGTCAGTATTAATCAGTATATTATCAGTATTATTACATTTTCTTTGTGGTAGTGAAACATTTTTGGATTTTTTTTTTTTTTTTTTTTTGTACAATACAATTACTTAAGTGTTGCATTCTGTTATATATATATTTTTTGCAGTCCATATTGTACATAATTATGCTTTATGGTTTGGTTTGAATGTTAACGTTCATTGTCTATATTTAATTCAGCAAAATGAGTTATTCCGATAGGCCTATGCAAACCACAGTTTCATAAGTTAAGTTATTAAAAAGAAGTCAAAGCAACAGTCCATCCTCTGCTTAAATCAGTCTTACCAGCCACACAACTTAATTGTAGGCTATAACATCTTAGAATAGTATGACAGCACAAAACTGTTTACAGAAAGTGAAATGTGTTTTTATTGTGAAAAGTCTTTCTATGCTCTGCCCCACTCTGTCATCGCTGTTCTGTATTCTCAACTGTGTCCCCTTTCATGGAAGCTCTGTCTCCACCTTGATCAGTAATTAGTTCTAATTACCTCAGTGGAAATATAATTATAATAAACTCTCTCCGTAGACTAATTATTTGATTCTGAAAATAAGCAATGAGCTCCTGAAAGCAAACATTGAAATCATTAACCAGTTTATTTATTTAGCCGAGTTTCTAGTCTTCTTTGACTTCTCACTGAATGGTACACTTATAACAGATTACCTCAAATCATTACAGTTAAGTATTTATTGTGCCTGTCCTGCAATTCATCTGACTTGTTATAAATTTCATGAATGACCAGGCAATAGCTCTTACTATGCTCCAACAGTGTTTATTAAGGCATGGGACTGGCACAAAGGTTACACTGGAATGGCCATACAGTACATAATCATGAACTATACAATACTTAATTTGAAAAAGTTTTATAGAGTGACAAATTTCACGTAATAGTAGGTGCAATAGTTTCCATGAAATAAAAGAAAAAAACAAGAAATCACATTATACACTGTTGCCAAGCTGGGGTATGGTCGCAGGTCACATGCCAGCCTTTCTGTCAGTCACAGATAATGAAATCAGTTCCCTTTTCCAACCATTTACTAAATGTCTCTCCCCACTCATCACCCCCATGTTAGCTGTTTACTACTACAATATTATAGCACTCTCGTATTAAGTATTTCCCAATCCCTGATATTGACCATTACCAGTGCAGACTGATAACACAATTTATTTCCTTTAAATAAAAAAAATAAAAAAATAAAAATAAAAAATCGATCCAAATATATTATGTAGCTGTTATTTATCCCTCGAGTAACCACAGAAAAGTTTTAGGTGAATAAAAATTCAACCGTTATGGGATTTCATGAGCAGAGCACACAACCAGTAAATACAAATAGTCCGATTACACCATTCTATTTGCCCAAGCAGGATATCAGCTGAACTGATATTTAGATGCTGATATCCGATCCAGCAAATTTTTCAATATTAGCCCAAATACCAGTATCTGATCGGTGCAGCATGTCTAACAATTACCACATCAACACTGATTTTAACCTTCTAAACCTGGATTCGACCAGAACTAAACCTGGACTAGAACAGAACCAAATCCAGTCTATATTAGGACTGGGTTCAAACCAGTGCTAATCAAGGTGAATGCACCCTAATGAAGGATGGCCCAAGAAATATGAAAATAAAAATGCTTTCTTTTAGCATTGAACTATACATACTTTTTTTTTTTTTTTTCCCCCAAATTGTGGCATTTCAACAAAGCCACAATTTCTGCAAACTCACTTAAACCAACTGTCTCTGCAGCGGTGGTGAGTGGGAGCAGACTGTTGTTCTTGTAACCTGGTCTAGTAGCCTCTGACTGACCTGTTGGCTTGTGCGTTTGTTTTCTGTTCTCAGTAGCCCACCACGACCCGGAGAACACCTTCAACTGCAGCTTCATCGAGCCCCCATCATCCGGCGCAGTGGACCAGCCTTCCCCCTCCTCCTGGTCCTCCCAAGAGTCCTTCTCCTCCTTTGAGAGTGGAGACGAGGGGCCGGTGTACTGTGTGCCCCATGAAGGTGAGTCATTGCTCAGACAAATAAACACACCATGCTTTTTAGTGCTGGGAATGACACACGGGAGCAAAACAAAAGATGTAATCTGATGCACTCCTGTAAATTACATTAGGAGGTGAGCTGTAAAGTTAATGGTGTGTCTTTCCATAGGCAAAGAGGGGATGATGTAATTTTAGGTACATTAAAATTAGAAATGACATTTATCTACAATTATTGTACCTGAGCCATGCTTAAAATGCAACAGCAGATAATATTAATAATGTTCATTCATTCATAATTTCTTAGGAAGTAATACAATACTGTTCCCATTATTCATACTTTCTTTTTTAAGAAATGCTTTTTGAGATAAAGTCACTATAAATTATTAAATTAATTTCAAATGGATAAGTGATTTGTGCAAACTACAAAGCCAAACATAAAATAAACATTGTTAAATTAATGATACTGAGAGTTTGAATTATCCACTAAATGAAAACCTTTGTTTATGTGGTGAATAATTTGTGTTGAGTGAATTTGTTTTATCGACTAATCTGGGATTGCTTTGAGCATAAACAGGAAATGAAAGAGTCATGTAAGCATTTGACAGATCCAAACTGACGACATTTCAGCTCTTCCCAGGCTGTTGGGGGGATTTTTGTGTATGAGTTTGCTGCTTAGTTGATGCTCTCTTTAGTATCTATTATCTGCCTGAACAGATCAAGGACTGCAAGGACTGCTGCCAATATTCTTACTGTAAACTCTGAGGATTTTTAAACATGGCTGTATCGTGTGATACCATCTGCTGCACTGGATCTGCTCCAGTTTTCTAAAACTATGTGTTTACTAATCAGTACTTGAGACTCTCCAGATATCTGTTTCCAATAACGGTCATATAAAACAATGCTCCTCACTGCAAACAGCCCCTCATTGTAGCTTTTAGATGGATATACGTATAGTTACACAAGTTACATTTTCAAACTATTTATATTATATGCTAATGTACTTTATTGCAATGAATTCAGAATTAAACAGTGTATTTGCTCTTTTCACTTTAAGGTATTGTAAGGACTAATGACTTACAAAAATCATTTTTGTTTCATTTCCTCTTTATGGACTATATTATCATCTCAAATTGTCCAAAACCAAAAACCCCTGTAATAGTTTTGTCGGGCTTAGTGATTTCCTACTAGTGTAATGAAGCTAATGACATTGAACAATAATAGCTGCCATTCAATTAGCCAAACCATTATATTTGAATCGCCTATTGTATTTCCTCATTTCCAGCATAAGCACCATTATCAACTTGAAAAAATCAGATTAAATGATTCATTTCAAACTAAGTTAAAATTGATTCCTATTATTTGAATGTGTTTGCTCCTTCATTAATATTAACATTAACATTAAATCGCTCACACATTTTTTTTTTCTTCTTTCTGGTGTAAGCATAGTGGACCAAAGCAGAATAGTAGCACAATTTTATTATAATGTTAAGCGAGGTTCAAGGTTCGGTATTGATACACCATATTGACAAGTCACACACTGTTTATTTGGTGATGTGTGAGTATCTAAGATGGATTTTTATGCATGTGATTCATACAGAACAACAATAATGATTTACATTATGAAATAGAATATAATAATATAACATAATAACTGCTAACTTTTTCTTTTCTCCACAGAGTCTGTAAATGAAAACAAGGAGAAGCGCAGCCCAAGTCCAACGCCAGAGAAATCCCCTGCTGAGGATGAAGAGGATGCGGGAGAGTACACCTCCCTGAAGGACACCAGCACCACCAAACCTCCTGAGAAGCAGTCACTAAAGGCCTGTGAGTCCAGCGAGGGCTCCACCTCCTCTGAATCTACATCTGCAGTGCTGTACGCCCGCATCGCCCGGGGATCCAAGCAGTCTAAAGAGGACGAGGGCAGCACCAAGGACGGAGAAAGCACTCCCACTCCTGAAGCAAAACGCAACGGAAAACCTCCTCCTTCACCAAAACCAAAACCACGCCCTCCAGACCCATCCACCAAGCCCAAAGTGTCCTGGATCCACGGAAACGCGTCTCCACAGCCAGAGGAGCGGGTTAAATTACTCTCGGTACCAAAGGAGAAGAAGGGTAGGGGCTCCAGTGATGGCTCAGGAAAAAGTGAGGAGCGTCAGAAGATGAAAGAGAAGAACAGAGAACAGAAAAAGGCAGAGGCGAAGGTGGTGGATGCTAACGGCTCTCCCAGCAAACACAAGCCCTTGCGAGGTAAAAAATCTGGGGATGAGCACAGCAGCCCGAGCCACATGGAGCACATCAATGGTGTGGTCCAGAATGCACTTAAGAAAATTAGCTATTTCCACACCTCCTCGCCTGAGAAGAAAAGTGCTGAAACTCAGAAGGAGGTTCCCAAAGAGCCTCCAAAAGTCATCCATCCTCATATGAACTCTGAGGCCGCCACGCTTTTGGCTGCTCAGCTCAAAGAGAAAACACAAAGCATCAACAGAAATGAGGGCACAGGCCTAAACAAAACCAATGGGCTCTCGACGCCCAAGGGCACGCGAGAGAAGCCCACTCCTCCACAGAAAGCCAAGAGGACATCATCCACCGGCTCGGGCCAGCAAGGCTCCACTAAACCTCTGCTGCCCACCACCAGCAGCCTTCAGAAGATGGTGGCACCCATCACAGCAGACGAGAGCCCTGAATCCAAGAGCCCGGAGAAGCAGGACTTGAACGGCTCCAAGGCAGGAGACTCTACGTTGGACTCCACATCCAAGAAGACCCCCATCAAAAAGCCCCCCAGAAAGAAGGGTAAAGATGGCACTCTGGAAACCTCAGAAACTAAGACTCCGCAACCAAAGACTGCCATTATGCCACCACAGATTGTGAAGTGAGTTTCTTGACTAAGCTTCCTGTGGATGTTACTAGGACAAAAGTGCAGAACTTTTCTCACAAGGAATCCAAGTCTGTTCAGAGGGTGTTGTGAATTCAGTCTAAAAGAAAGTACTGGTAAGTTCAGTATAATACACATATATCTCTGCAGCATTGTATTAGACTACAAAAACTGTCCTATAAGCAGTTACATACTGCAAGGGCAGCAAGCATGGACATAACTCTAAAAGTAGCACACCAAACCAATAGCTTAATATGGTCCTCTGTATAACCACTGTGTTTTCCTTATGTTTTGCCATCATAGGTACTATAATGCTCAAATAAAAATCTGGCCCTCTTCACTCAAAATTAAGTTTTTCTACTTTTCCTTTTTATAGGCATTTTGTAAATATTTATCTCATCATTCTGGACAGTTTGGGCTACTTCTGTGGATAAATTGTTACGATTCTTTTGAATTCCCCTCGGAGCACCGTGTTTGTTTGAAGCTTTGCAGCGTACAATTTCAGGTTCTATTTTTCATGTTTGTCAGTCATGGTTTGTTGGATCCAAAACAAGACCTTTGATCTTCAGGAAATACAGAGATGCAAAACCAAATCACCACAATGCACTTTTATTATATGCTTCATTCAGTCAGTGAAACCACTAAACCAGAAGTAAAACCTAAGCTACTCAACCCATCACCTTAACCACTCTGCCTTTGGTGCAATGTGACCCACAAATGCAGCAGCTATATTTTCTAAAACCTTTCAATGGCCTTTGACACAGTTTGACTAAAGTTAATAAAAACTTAATGGTACCCTGCTTTGAATATATGAAAAGGCCTCAGCTGTTGATTGGTTCAGTTAAGGGGACAATCTGTGCCTTGAATTTTAGTTAAGTGTATGGGTAATATGAATAGATATTTCTTTTCTTTTCTCATTTTTGAAGAGCTATTGAAGTAGCTCAGAAAGCCAATGCATGAATGCCAAATATTTGTTCTGTTTTGTGTCAAGGTACCACCATTTAGTCCATTTTTAAGGGTGTACAATGTACATTGTGTACTTTTTATTATGTTTGTAAGCTGTGCTTATATGACCTTTTTAGTATCTTTGTCAATGAATGAACTGGCTTTCATGGTATATTTGGTTTTATGGAATGTAGCTTTTTGTGCTCAAAAACCCAAAGTACAAGCCTTCTCCTGTAAAGTTTACATGGTCTTTGTAATTGTCCTCTGTTGATGTTATTGTTTGTCCAACACTAACTGCATGACGCAGAGTGGAATTATATGGCATTAATAGCTGCACAGGAATTCTGTAACCTCATTGTTCTTCCTTTTTCTGTTTTGTAAAAATGTCAAAGATTGTACATTTTGATGCCACTGTCCAAACTAATGCATAGAAACTGAAGTTTTACTCTTTGTCTGACTGGCCTGAGTTGGGCCTGAAAGCTGCAAAAAACAACTGTATGGAATATTTAGTAGTTTGTGGTTTTGCAACTATATTTTTCATGAGTATTGAACTGGTGTTTCTTTATTATCTTCTTTGGAATAAAATGCAATATACAGAATTATTTTTGAATGAATCTATTTACATTAATAACTAGGTCCTCTTCCTTTCACTCAATGCTGAACCATAGAGGAATATGTCTGTTTATAAATTCTCCTCAGAGATTAAGAAGAATGCTGAATCAAATCTGAGACTTGAGTGAGACTGTGATGTGTCGTATGGAGCCCTGTGGAGCGCTTCGGTCACGGCAGAATTTCAAAGAGCCCGAGGAAACCAGGGACTGTTGGTTTGGCTTCTTCAGGAACGGGGACAAGAGCTCCTTTCATGGCAAAAACACTGGAAACTTTGTGCTAGGAGTCCATCACGCGCTGCATATGGCGGAAGAAGGGGAGAAGTTGGAAATAACCAGTGTTGGCTTACAAGCACGATGAATGGATAAACGCATGGATGTGTGGGTCATGTGATAAGTAATTGCAAACAGAAGGTCAATTGGCTTTGTTTGGGTTTCTACAGAGAAGTGCATATTTGGTAATGGGTACTATCCAAAAATGATAGTTTGTAACGAAAGAACAATTACTTTCAAATTAGTTCTTCGCCCTATAATTACTAGTGTACAAAACAAGTTGACATGGGGGTCTCGTCTGCCTCACAAATTTTAAATGAAAGAAACAAAATAGACCATACAACAATTCACAGCATTAGTATTTTAGGATAAGAAGGTGGACATACAAACTTTCAAATGTTCTTATCTCTTTTCACTCATAGATTTAGCTGCTGTTGGCCCCTGTTATCTTGTAAATATGTATAATGTGTATTTTCTGGGGTAAGATTTGTTTTAGTTTTTAATACTCTTTAAATAAGACCTACTTCAGGGTACAGAGGAGCAAGAAAAAACACTGATCCCGAAATAAACATAAAATGCTTAGTTCTAAATAAAGATGTGGTGGCATATGGGAATTGACTCATAGCAGTCCAGATTTGGCACAGTGAGATGCTTCTTCTCCATATGGGGGTAATGGGTTTAGAAAGTAACAGGAACACTGAAATTTTAGTAGCCAATGCTTTGAAATATAGCCTATTTTTTATTTTATCATCAGGTTAAATATTAGTGTTGTCCATTAATGTTTTTAATCCAGTTTCAAACATGTATTTTGCCTTTAATTACATACTTTTAGCACTAAAGATTTGCTCTGTATTGTAAGTTTTGGACAGCCTGTGACCTAACTTTCACAGCTGGATAGACCCACACTCCATAACTCATTGTATCCACACCTCCTTAAGAAGCTTCTTTTTAAAGTAACAATGGCCAGTGTCTCCGATGGTGCCACAGCATTGGAATGTTGACACAACTGGTTCAATCTGCCCGTCTTCAGCTCACAGATGGAGCGGAGCATCGAGCCAGCGCAGAAGCACATGTTTTGGTTATCCATCCCTGACACGCTGTGGGAAAGTCACAGTTTGGAGATGTGAATGGCATGTCAACAGCACTGCACCGAATCTGACTGTCAACTCTACAAGGGTTGTGCCATGTTGGATTTCAGATCATGCTTTTGTGTAAATGAATTTGGATGGAGGAAATGTGTGAAGTTTAGTCACTGAGCTGTATAATAAGGGGAACACGCAGAATGGGATAACCTTGGAGAATATTGCAATGCGTGTATGATGATTTTTCTACCACAAGCCTATTGGTTCATTCAAATACACAAAGATTCTTTATATATTCTTTATAGTGAACATTTAATGGAGGCAAAAATATCAATATTTCAGTACTGACAAGGTATCAAAAAGCATTGATTCACATATTTCTGAAATATGTGCCGTTTTGAAATGAATGATTTATATTTCGCAGCAGTGATGTGAAAACACTGATATCTATATGCAAAGGTAAAATAGAGGAGAGTAGAGAAGAGTTTGGATGCATTTTAAAATAAAACTCATTGGAAATAATGCTGGCTCAATATTTTGCTATCTGCCATGTATTACTTTGTATTGAATTAAAACAAAAAATACTGGTATAATTATTTTTTTCATTTGTACCAAAATTACTATATGATTCTGCTGAATCCTATGCATATCACAGATTAAGAAAATTTAATTGTATAAAACTATGTAAATACAGAGCAGTGGGAGTATGCTGTGGCAGTGAAAACAAGAATTGAACGGCAATATGGTGTTTTGAAAATAAGCAATTAAATAATGTTCAAATATGCACAAATCAGTCCAAAAACTACTTTGAGAGGGTAAATGAGAAGAGGAAATAACTATAACGTGGTTAAAGGCTCTAAAAAGTCAATTTTGCACAACAGATCTGCTTTCAAACTTTTGTGTTTTTTGTGCTATATCGACCTTGATCAAGATCCTATATTTCCAAATACAGTAATGAGATAAACTATGCAGTATTGATATTCTATTCCCTAATATTGCAATGACAGACTTTCATGTATATTGAGTAACTTGCTTTATAGGCAGTATCAAAGGTAGCACAAAGGGTGACTGTATGCCATCCGCTGGTCAGAAAGTGCAGTTATAGGAGTGTGGGAAGGGTCTACGGTGACATGTAGGCTGCCAGAACAAACACAACTTTGAGATCTCTACGCCAAGTCTACAGTTAACAGCAAGCCTTTAAAACCCAGGCCCTATGAGTCAGCCAAAAGCCCTGGACTCACAAAAAAAAGGAAAAAAAAAAAACATTCCAGTCTTAGTGTTTCCATAGCAACAAGAACAGATCGGAGCCACATCTGGTAGCCATTTTAGTCCCTATGAGGAGAGGAAGAAAGAAATTTATGAGTGAGGGCGAAAAAGACAAATATTTTCTGCAATGCAAAGCAGAAAGAAAGTGGACTCAGGTTACACTTGAAAGAGCTTGGAAATATTAATTTGAGCTGGTGACGTTTTTGGTTTTCATGTTATATCAGGATAACAGATTTCGTTTTACGCAACTGCAGTCTTGTAAAGTAGACATTAGGCAAAGCAACAGTTTTCAGCTTGGATTATTTTGATGTTACCATGACATTAAACAGGTAGAATAACCATGTTTTATAGCCATGGTCAACTCGGTTTCCCAGATATTCCACAGTGTAACTTTTGGTTTTGGACAGAAAAACAGTGCCTTGGAATGTTTAGCTCAAAGTCAAAGACCAGAACAGAACAAATTTAGACTTGACAGCGAATAAACTATATGCTGAGGCTTGAAAGAATTATAGTTAGTCCATATAAATGTGTAATACTATAATCTTATTGACATTGGGCATTAGCGAAACTTATTTTAGCCTGCCCTATATGTTATAGGTTGGATGGGGAAATGTACTGCTTGAACCCAGTTAGAAACTAAACTATGTATTGTGTTTATTTGATAGGGCCACATACTTGTACATACACATACAAAACCGTAGACAAACAGTAGGCAACCACCATACAGGCCTGTCACAATAACAAATTTTGAAGCACGATATTTTGCTGAAGAAATTACAGATGCGAAATAATAATATTGAAACAAATTAATGCCACTGACAGAAAAACCCAAGAGAAGATTTAAACCACCAACATTATTCAAAATGCACAATACTGTGAAAAACCCACAAGCTGCAATAAATAAATAGTAGAATAAAACACTTTAGTATTTAGTTTGTTTCTGTAATGAGTCATAGAAGTTATTAATTCAGTCTTCTACAGCTCAACAACAATTTTATCTCAACTTTTAAAAAAAAATAACCAGAAATTTCCCAGTAGTGCAAAACAAGATACAAAAGATAATATTATATTGATACAAAAGATAATATTAAAATATTGTTCCTTCTGTCATGTATTGAATGATAAGTCGATCGTGACAGGCCTACCACTGTAGTCTGATTCATGCGTTCATGTTCATGTCAGTGTAACTTCAAACGTATTTAAATTGAATGTAAAGCAGAGTTACATTATGATGTGAATGCTCATAAAGATCGCATCGTTGTCATTTAAAATCCCCAAATTATGTCAGATGCCTCCAATGGAAAACATGCTTTTTGCTCCTCAGTTTAAAGATGCATAGTTTCTCTGGCTGACAAAATGTGTGGCTGGTTACACTTTGGTTTCCTAAAATGCTCTCAGGTCTCTCGTGTATACATTACATTACACAGCCCAGATGAAGTCTAGAAAACAGTTCCTTTCTCTCTTATCTTAGCCGGCGCAAAGTCTGCAAGAAACTGCTCTAATTGTAGGCTTTGCACATTTGTTCTCAGCGCTGTGGAAATCGCACAACCTATGAAATGACATTTACTGGAAACTTAGCCGGGTGCTTTTCTTGAGCCAAAACCACTGAGAACTGAGGTCAGGAGAGAAAGCAAGAAAGCCAGAATCCATATGTATTTGTGATGACATCTATACAGCAAACAGTTTAGGATTGCCATTTAAATCGATAGTGAACACCCACCACAGAGGCATATTAGGCTAGCATCGATCGTCCCTAATGTTAGCATCAAGAGCCACCGCACAACAAGCCGGCCTCCTAAACCGAGAGCCAGGCGTGCTGCTGGTGATGAGACGTATCTAGGTCAAAAGAGCTGCAGCTGTCGGAGGAGCTTGGGAAAGAAAGTGCTGTAGTGGCTCTGTCATGTTGGAGTATAGGGCCCTTGTGATTTATTACAGTCTGAAAACTACCTTATTTAAGCTGTGTCAGTAAACCAAGTAAGAACTGTCCAACATCATTTTCTATTGTATTTGCTATGATGTAAAAACTTCAAGCCATAAGAAAGTAAAAAAGAGTACACAAGATATAATGGCGTTGCAAGAGCAACATTGATTAAAAAAAAGTTACATTCAGAGGACAAAAATTAACCTTTCCTAAATAGCTTTAGAATAAGTGTGGAACATACCTGGACATCTGAAGGATTACATACATATACCACAATTGTACTGAATGAAAATCACATTACTGTTTAAAAAGTCTTTTTCATGATCATCTTGATATCAGAATCACTACTGAGGACTCAGTATATTCCTTGATATCGAAATCAGTTTTGAAACTTTAGTATCATGACAACACTACTGGCAAGTAACTGCCTATAAAGTCGATTTGAACAT